GAGGTAGATGGAGATGGATGTGATTCATTGAATCGAGTCAATTTGTTAGGGCTTGATCCCTAGTATCCACTATGTTATGAGAATGATGTTGCTATAACTTTGCTACGCTTAATGCTTGTCAATAGGGCCTGAGTGCCAAATTTCAGGTACGAACATATTGTGTTTTTATGAATATATTTGAGTTCTTGATCTTATTTGTAAGTTATATGTACTTGTTATTATTCTGAACCGTAGACCCCAAGGTGATAACAATTGAGGTACTCTCCGGGGATGACTGTCTTTACGAGTTAATGTATTCACTATGTGCTAATATTTTGTTTCGGTTCTATATTAAAAGGACACCGCTACCCCAGGATGACTATAACTTAATTACCCTTAGATTTTTATTAGGACCTCGCTACAACGGGATGATAGGACAAAAGATGTCATCCAAGTTTTTATTGCAAGCACGTATGACTATATACAGAATACATGCCTACATGTTATTGATGAATTGGAGCTATTGTGTATTGCTCTAGGTTGCACCTATTTGATGATGAATGTCATCCAAATATCCATCGCTACTCTATGCATACGCTTTCCATAATATTGTCTTTGCTTGAATCACTACTGTTGATGTTGTTCCAATTGCTACAAAATTGCTACTATTACTACTATTATTGTTATTACTACTATCAAAACTACCAAATTACTATACTACTAATATTTTTTGTAAGGAAATAACTTCTCTGGTGTGGTTAAATTGACAACTCATCTGCTAAGGCTTGCAAATATTCTATGGCTCCCCTTGTGTCAAATCAATAATTTTGGGTGAAATACTATTCTCGAAGACTGTTGTGGTCCCCTATACTTGTGAGTCATTATTGCGTCATAGTCGGAAACCTCAAACTTAGATGTGGGCATCGAGGTGGGAGGCGAGCACGAGTTTGTGTGGGTGGAGCCTGGCCGACGACACCAACGACTACAAGGTGGAGGTGGAGCCTAGTGAGTGACGCCAACGGGCACCAAGTGGCCATACTGCGGCACCCAGGGTTCGTCGCATGCAGGGGCAGCACTGCAAGGTGGCGGGAATGATCAAAGAGAGGAAGGGACGGGAAAGCCGAGTCTGATGGATGTGCGTGCCTCGTATGGGTCTACTTATAAAAAATTGGAATACCGAACAACATAAAATGGGGAGATACGTTTACACGATAAATATGAAGCATGGTCGTAGGGGATACACAGGAATCTTTGCGCCCCCAATGGTTGGCGACTAACTGGTAGAAACCGGTTCCGCTAAGAAAAATCTTTGATTCGCCTTTGATGGGTGCACCTATCTAGCTCAAACTTTGTTCATCGGCCAATACATTGCTGCCATTGAAGTAGTTGAAAAAATAGATCACCGTATTATGCAATTCCGCGCTGACATTTCAATTCAGCAGGGAGGCGACCATGTGGGTTCTGCCGGGCAATAGTGCTCGAATGCAAGGAGCTAGCCCCTGGATCTTTCAAAGACATCATATGTTCACTATCTCCGAGAAGCAAATGAAGTTGTTTATGTGTTAGCAAAGAACTCTTTAACGAAAAATGTTTTGCGTTTTGGGACTCTATGATCCCTAATTTTATTTCTCAAACTCTTGTAAATGACCTATCGATCATCTAAGAAATAAAATCTTTATCTATACTTACTTATAAAAGAGCAAACATTATCTTCTCTAAGTGCACCCCACAAAACGTACACGGATACATTACCATCGCATGATTAGTCTCACTAAACTCAATCTAACGGCTAGTCTTAACCTAATATGTTCTCTGTGTGCACTTAGCAATTTACACTGACTGACCGTACTCCACCGCGGAGGAAAATATAAAAATCCACGCCTGGTCAATTAGGAAACTGTAATAACAGACACATCCTATTAAGAAACTAATCACGGACGCATCTAATTATTAGGAAACTAATCACAAATGCATCCTATTATTAAGAAACTAATCACAAGCGCATTCTATTATTAGAAAAATAATCACGCGCGCATCTTATTATTAGGAAAATAATCACGAGCACATCCTATTAGGAAATTAATCACGGACGCATCTAATTATAAGGAAGCTAATCATAGACGCATCCTATTAGATAACTAATCACAAACGTATCTAATTATTAGGAAACTACTCGCGAGCGCATCCTATCATCTCCTATCAAGGAATCGCGATCGCGAGACGCCTGCCGTCACTAGCCCACCACCCACGCGAGGAGGAGCTGCGGCTTCCTCGAACACGCACACGTGCCGTCGTCATCTTCGTCTTCTGCCTGGAGGCTAGGTCACTCTTCTACTGACTACAACGACTTCGTCCACGTCCTGGGCATACTCTCCGGGAACCACCAGCATCCGCGTCGACTTCAGCTTCATTCACAACACCCACGCTGACAACCAACCACCGCCGATGCCCTTCAACTGGGGGCAACGCTGAGTATCCTTGACCAGTATAAGCGGGCCCAAAAAATCAAGTGGGGGCATTCGCTCCACAGCCATGCATGTAGATTCGCCTGGTCGCCAACCATCGTCGTCCCCGGGGCGGCACAGGTCTCGACCACTGCACAGCAGGTGAACCTAATCACGGCCCCATCTCCGTCGCCCAAAGCCACCGCCGACTCCCTCAGCTCTGACGTGTGTTGCTCCGTTGGACACACTTGTCCAGTACTCACGCGTGGACGACGTCATCCAAAGACATCCTACCTTCGTCGGACGCTGGAACTCCCCACGCCCCGGTGCATGGAGGCCGTCGTCTCAAAGCTAGACAGCTGACTCACCTGCGTCGACAACGCCGCCCAGCTGGTGAGAGGACACGGTCGCCGCGGCCGCTCGCAGGCCTGAACGACGGAGACACTCGCCTTCACGCGAACGCGCTGCACGCACGCACTAATCAGGTAAGTACCGGGTGTTGTTTGTTTTACTGGCATCGCTACCTCGTCGGTGGTGACACATCTAGAAGTACATGAACTAAAGATAAGGCAATGAGAAAGAGAGGAGCGCTGGAGCATACACAGTTGGGTTTCAGGCAACCAATGCCTTTTTTCTTTCTTTATTTTTTCACTGATTTTCGCGTACCTGCAACTGACGTCCTTATTTTTTTAAGTACTGCCTACCGGTTATTACATGGACAAATTATGACTACACAGTGAACTCACAGAAAAATTCGCTGAACCAAGACCTTACTTGCAGACATGAAATTACATTTCACTGAAAACCCCCAGAAGTTTGCATAAGTTTTAGTGAAAAAAAAAACTAAAGTTCGCATACGTTTTACTAAAAAAAAACCTGAAGCTTGCATAAGTGTATTTGTTTGTCCAGTAGATACATGGCAATTGTAATTTTACATGAGCATTTTCATACCGTCCTTATCTACAGTTGAGTTAACATGTTTTCCTGATAGAAAACTTGGACCACATACAAGAGAAGCAAAAAATGCATGTTTATTATGATGATGACGAATGTAGGATATTTTGTGGTCATGGTAAATTCGCATATCATTTATTTTATTTCATTATTGCACTCTACATTACATACTACGCACGACCACTTCGGTAGAGGTGACGAGTTTGCATCATACAGAGAGACCAACCATGTTTCTCCGAATATTTTGAATCATGATACTTATGACTTCATCTCTACTACTTATAAGAAGTACATTTTTTCATTTGACTATTTCCTAACTTGATAGATAAGGTATGTTTTATCCACTAGAGTTGCTAAAATTGGAAGCACGTCTGCAGTTTTTTTCTTTTTAAACCGGCATTTGTTGGCCTTTTTTGCCACTGTTATTCTTACAAGTGGTAGTCTACGCATGTTGAAGACCATTTTCAAATTATTTATCTTTGTATCATTATTACTACAAACTGAGAGGATATTTGTTATATTGTCAAAAATTTAGAATGTTGAGCCCTTAAAGAAATGTGTAGTACTCAAGTAACTGTTTCCATGTTATCGTATCAATGCTTTTGTCCAGTGAATAACAAGTATAATTATGCAATTTGTCACTGTAATTTTTATTTGATTTACATGTTCTATTCTCATAATAAAGTAAATCACTTTTCTTGCTTCTAGACATTACGACACTTGCGGTGCAATAGTAGAATCAGATGGTCCAACTAGCATTTTTTGTCTTCTTTCACAGCTGATTCTATGCAGTCAAGACATCTTTACACTTCTCTATCTGACAATGGCTTCCTCTTTTCAACAAACCATAGAGGTCTCTTCCCACTATTATGGTTAACACTTAATTATAATAATAATTCTTGACTGGAGTTCGTTGGCACTGAAACACTTCCTTAGCTTGTCCTGAGCGACATTTTCATGTGTGATTATACTTGCATAAATGTGTGCGTAGGGAGAATCATGATGAATCTTCTAAATAATTTTGAGTTTTATACATTCGGAAAAGTGGGTGGTCTTTTAATACAGGAGACATGTTGATTAAAGAGAAATGATATTTTTAACTATTTATACGAGTTGGGAATAAGAGATTGTGTATTTTATAGAGAAATTTCAAATTTATGAATAAATTGTCTTGTATTAAGTTTATTATAATATGTTAATTCAAATAAACATATGTTGCACGTGCACATGTATTAGTTCAAATAGACGTGCATAGTACGTGCACACTTACTAGTGCTTTAAAAAGAAAATCTGCCGCTGACATTTTGCCGAACGCCTGGCTGGCACCCCGCTATGGCGGCGCCGTCTCGCGCGTTGCAGCAGGCGCCGGAGTCCGGGCCCACTGTTCTTGAAGCGGAGGCGCCCCGAAGAGCGTCGCAACGGGAACGGCAAGGCGCGGCGGCAAACGCACCATCTCGATGCCGCAGGCCGCTGCTGCCCTGCCTATATATTCTCGACGCCGACGCAACTGCCGCGACGAAACCTTTCTCGGCGCACACTACACAAGGGGAGAGAGAGAGAGACCTCATCGGCCTAGAGGCGTAACCGACCTCCCTCGTCCCTCCCGTGGGCGGATCGGCGGCCATGGAGGTGGAGCCGGCGTCCAACGTATGGGAGGACGCCCCCGACAACATCCTCCTCCGCGTTGCCGCCTACCTCCCCTTCCGCCTCGACCGTCTCCGCATGTCCCTTGTCAGCCCACACTGGCGCCGTGCCTTGTGCGGGCGGGGCCAGGGGCGCCCCCCGCAGCTCCCCCTTCTGCCGCCTCTGCCGCCCGTGCTCCCGTGGCTCGTCTTCCCCAACACCGAGGAGCCTTCCCTCTTCTGCGCCATCGACCGCATGAGCTACCCCCTCGGCCTCCCGCGCGACGTCCGCAACGCGCGCTTCTGCGGCTCCTGTGATGGAGGCTGGCTCGTCCTCGCGCTCGACACGCGCCCCACGCAGTACGCTCTCTACAACCTCTACTTCGGGCAGCGCATCCCCCTCCCTGGGGGTCTCACCATCCCTGACGGTGCCGGGAATGTCCCCTTGGTCTTGTGCGCCGCCACGTTCACATCCTCGCCGACGTCTCCTGGTCCCAATGGCTACATGATCGGTGCCATCGTTCTCGTCTGCTCCAAGTGGTGCGCCGCCTTCTGGCGAGAGGGGTTACCCAACTGGATCACGTCCGAGTCCGATGACGTGTGGATGAGGCGGCCGCCGCAGGACGTCAAGTTTGCCGGCGGCGCCTTCTTCTTCGTCACCGCGGACGAGAAAATCGTCATGTACGTTCCAACGTTCGCCGGGGACGAGAACCAGTATGTCATGAGGCGCTTCGACTGCGACATGCTGCAGCGCGACGGCTACGCAGACGATCTTCAAGGCAATGCCAAGATAGCGCGGTACCTCGTGGACTCCAGGGGTGTCCTGCACATGGTCCTCAGGTATATCTACAACAACCAAGGGACGACTAGGCTCCGGGTCTTCAAGTACCACGTCCTGCCGCAGGTGGCCGACGACGTGCCCCCCACTGGTACCTGGCTGAGTGTGAGCGAGTTGGATGGCCAGATGCTGTTCCTGGGACAAGGCTGCTCCAGATCCATCGAGGTCGCGCAGTTCGAGGGGTTCGAGGGCTCCACGATCTACTTCCCGGATGACCGCTTCATCCCCGACCCCGAGCCGACGGTGGACAACAGGAGGTCGTACTCCTTCATCGACATGGGCAAGTACTCATTGCAGGGGGAGCAGGGGGGCGTCCAGCCCTGGCCTCCGGTGGATCGTCGCCCGGCGAGGTCCGACAAGGCTCCTCCCACTTGGTGGCTCCATTGACGCGACCATGCGACCGGCTGGTGATTGTTTTTGCTCTTGAGGCTTATTACTGACTACTTGCATAGTACATTGCATGCTACTCTGTTGTTTCCTCCTCGAACTTGATGGGTACGTGGTGCTGAGATTGTATCTGTCCTGCTGCATTTGGTGTTGTGAGATGGTAACAGTGGTAGTGGTGGTAGGGGAGGGATATTTACCACCCTACACATATACTCTAGCCACTTTCAATTCAGTTCAGGTTTGATATGCATATAAGGCTCCAATGCAATGCAATCTTGCATTACTTGCTATATTTGGCTTCTTGTTGGCAGTTTTCATGTTCTTGTATATTCTTCGAACACAAATGTGATGCCGCTGTCTCGCAACGGTAGTAGGCATTGCAGGTTCTGGTTGTTGCAACTGGAAATTCCTTTTCAGTTTCTGATCACTCTGTGCATGTTGCTGCAAGCTATTTTTGGGTGCTCGTGGATATTGTTTAGCTCTCATACTGCCTGCCATCTGTTCAGGTTACTTTAGTGCTTTGCTGTGCAGTTTAATGTTGCTGGTACCAGAAATGGCAGTTTTGCAGGTGTACAACCCAAAAATCTCCATGCAATTTGTGTTCCACAAGCTCTTTGGTGTTGTTGTCAGACATGCCATTTACTCCCTCCGTTCCTAAATACGGAGTATAAGTCTTTTTAGACATTTCAAATAGACTACAACATATGGATGTATGTAGACATATTTTAGAGTATAGATTCGCTCATTTTGCTCCGTATGTAGTCGTTTGTTGAAATCTCTAGAAAGACTTACATTTAGGGACGGAGGAAGTAGTTTCATCTTATTTTACTCATGAATACACAAAAGCCTTGGTGTGTATCATTGCATTGATAGGTAGGGAGTATTTAATTTCATCTAATGAATAGAGTAAATCAAACTCGAATGATGTAGGTTCCAAATTCAATAGATTGGTAAAACTAGCCCACGCTGATGTGTAGCTTCTTCTGATGGTAATCCTCCTGGAACTAGTACAGTGGATCATCCGTGAAATGCCAGTGCTTCTCAATGTTTCCCAAACAAGAAATTGGCTGAAACTCTGGCCTTTCTGTTTTGTTTCTTTTGTGTTTTTGTAATACTTTTGTGGGTTTGTTCTAGTGAGAAACAGTTGTTCTAGTCATCGCTTCAAAAAATTGCTAGTGAAAAATGAGTTACATATTGGTGATATTTATAAGCTGAAGGGAATTATAATCAGTTCTCCATGTGATTGCATCTCGGTTGACTGTTATTTTATCACTTAGCAAGTCATGCTTAATACCGATTTGCCAATTTGTTTTGCACAGTTCATGCAAATTGATGCAAGTTTATCTCGAAGTTTCAGCATAATCGAGAATTATCATGCGGAAGTCATTGCTTTTGCAGTTTGCTCGTAAGCACGGCCGCACAACCCCTGCTTGTGGGACTTCAATTTCGTTTGGCCCTAGTAGTAGTATACGTAGCTCGGTAGTGCACCAAGGTCTACTCACTCTTTCGCCTGAAGGAGTCATTGACTGAAAGGACATGCTGTATGTTTCAAGCTCGATGAGCATGCTGCACATTTCTTTTTGGACAACAGCGAACAGCCGAACACTCCCCAAAATAAAAACACAAGAAGAGAAAGAAAGACCAAAAGGCAACACCAATTGTAAAGTCAAAGCCCTTCTACTGGCCGGGCCTACGACAACTCTGATGCGGATCACCAACAGGGAGCCAAATCATCTAACGGGAGTCATCAAATAAAAACAACCCTGCTATACGTACGATGAATTCTCATCCCACACTCATACGATTAGAGACAGCCCAAGACAATTCAGTTTGTGGGCCACAACATGCAACAAATTTTACTGTCTGCTCGTACAGGTGTCCGACGATAAAGTATCGTATGCAGAGCAATTTCGAAATAAAAAGGGACACCGCATTTTGGTTAACATTCAAAAAACATTACATAGCAAAAGAACCTAAATGTTTCTCAAAAAAAAAAGCAAAAGAACCTAAAACATCTTTAAAAACCTAAATATACTCCTCGTCGTGAGAGCCTTGGTCACCGCCGGAGCCGTTCGAGGTGAGGTCTACGGCCCTCACGCCGGACAGTATCGACCTTATCATTGTTGCAGGCTGGCGTGAACGAGGCAGAGCTACCGGCGTTGGCCTGTTTGTCATCGTCATCGTGCTGCTCCAGCCTGTTGTCGTCCTTCCACACCTTTTTTTAGAGAAAAGGCACCGGCCGAGCCCGAGAAGAGCTCGAACCTAGCCCGACTTTGAATTAACAAAGTCATCAACCGGCTAGGATTACAAAGGCACCATGATATAGATGAAATGCAAAGCAAAACGGAAAGGAAGATACAAGGCAGTAGGTAGAACAACACAATGGCAACAGCAGAAACACTGATGCCGACGCCCAACACTACGCCTACACCAACTAGCCAACTAAGAACACGGAAGGAGGGCCACACCGAGCAAGCATCGAGCGCCGACTGCATCCACAGGCCAAACATGTGCAACACTTGAGCTGTCTCCACCGTCGCAAAGGGCCACTACCCTTTCACCCAGGCTTGATGAGTGCCGCACCGGCGAACAGCGGAATGGCTACCACAAAGCCCAACTCAAGGTGTCCAGCTGCCATAGGAGAAGCAGACGGAGCTGACCAGCGGACCACAAAGGACCAACCATACGAGCACCAAGCCTGCAGTGGCAGCACGGAGCACGGGACGCGAGCTGTCGAACGAAGGCGCACACCGATGGAGAAGACCGAAGAAGGCACCAGTATGCACCGGGCGAAGCCGAGCAAGAAGTCGCAGGAGGACCAGGCCATCATGCTTCGGAGCCAAGCCACCAGCCGCTCCACCCCAGGAGCAAATCCCGGTCGCAGCCTTCAAGAAGGATCACGACACCAAGGTGTCGTCGACGCCCAGATCAGGGGAGTGCCGACTTTCGCCGGAGCTCAGAGGGGGAGGCGAATGGGAGAGGAGCCACC